ATGGGGGTGTGTCATACCTGTATTAGTGGAGGGTTCTGCTGTATGGTGACATAATCATGCAGTGGTGCAAATTCACCTTAGGTAAGGTAGGAATTTTCACAAGGCTGGTGGCTTGCAACTCTCAATGTCAGATTGTGCAAACTCGAGAGGAAAGAACCATTGTGTGTGTGATGAGTATTCGTTTTTGGAATGCCATTTTTACTTCTGCAAATGTCTAAAGCAAGAAAAATGTATTAAACATTTAATTGTTACATAAACTTATTTATGTGATAATACTATATGATTAGTACAGCTTTTCCATTCCTTGATAATAAGTTATTGCATTTCAAAGAAATACTAAGGGGCCATGTGGGCTATCATTATCCACTGCCAACCTACTACAAACTACATATAGAAACTCCTTACTTTGTATTGAAATATGATGTTTAAATTACTTGTGTATTTCCTCTTGGACTTTCTTTTAATGCCTATGAAAATGTTTGCCTTCAGGTGTTGTAGGTGCTACAATAAGGAAGTGTTATCTGTCATATAGTGTGGTCAACATGGAGTTGTCTGAGTTCTCTATATTTTATTTTTGATCATATAATCTTGCAGTCATGATCTGGATTTATGGATTCCAAACCTCAAAGAGTTGCCCTGGAAATTACAGACCAGTTAACCTTACTACTATAGTTTAAAAAAGTTTAGACTGTCTGATAAAGAAGTTTTATAAGATCCTTTAGTGAAATATGAAAGCCAATATGGGTTCATTAAAAGTATGTTTTGTCTAACTAATTTGAAAGACTAGTTAATTGAACTATTGAATGGTCAGATGAGAGAAAGATTTACTCTTAATGGAGTCCAGTGAAACTTGATTGTTACAAGTGGAATGTTTTAGGGATCAGTGCTTGGGAACTCTGTTTTTTCTTATTTACACCAGTGACATTGATAGGGGCATAATTAGCAAATGAGCAAAGTTTACTAATGACTTTAAACTCTTAGGTATTTTTAGCTGTATTAAGAATATTGAGATACTACAGGATGACTAATTGTTAATAATTGTTAAGTGATCTATAATTATAGGACATGTAAAGTAATGCACTTATGATAATTTGGATCACATGTTTGATATAGGCTCAAAGATATGACATAGTGGTGGATAAGTTATTCAAGATTTCAAAGCAGAGATCTGTTGCTTGTACTAAAATCAATAGAATGTTAGGGTTTCGTTATAGACATATTGACTGAAAGTCAAAAGAGGTATTTATCTCCTTATAAAAAGAATCACTGTTTCAGCCTCATTTTAAACACTGTGTACAGATTTGGTCTCCTTATCTGATATTGATTTGTTGGAAAGGGTTTAGATGAGGATTTATGAAGTCTATGAATGACTGATTTTATGTGTATTCAATTTCTATGTATGTAATTACTTACTACTAGCTAACAGACTTTGTCTAGAATGCTTTAGAAATTTTTTATAGTTATGCTCATGTCTTTTCCTTCTTAATGTAACCTAAAGTTTGTTTTATTGTAGACTCTAGTAATTTCCTTACCTCTGAAAAAGTATTAACTGGTCAGTAAATACTTGGACATTATCTATAAACCCTTTAAAAAGCAATGTGACATTGACTGATTTTTCCATAATTTAGCTCGTCAACACTAGTAATGGATTAACTAAAAATTAATATTATTTGGCCTAGATACCTTATGTTCCTTCAGTTTTTCCATCATGAATATTACCATCTTTGACTAAAGCATAAATTCATTCATAGATACCAGATATTCATCTTGAGGAAAAGCCGTCTTACATCTTCCTCAGTAAAATGTGAGGAAAAAAAATATTCACATTTAAAATTGATTTTATTATTTTTTAATATTTGCATGTAGTGACACTTCTAACTGTACTTTTGAATTTTTAAAGTTTTTTTTTGTTAGTTTGATAAAGAACAGTTGCCGAAATTTTGATTATCTTTAAATATTTCGTTACTGTATTATTTTTTTTTAGGTGATGAACCTGACCCATCAGAGAGTGGTAAGCCTACATTCACGGAAAAACCAGTTATTAAACAATCGAATGACTTCAGTAAGGTCATATTTCAGTGTCGTCTTGTAGCTGATCCTCCCCCAAAAATAGAATGGTAAGAATTCTAAGTTGTAATAGATTAATAAATTTCATGTGTTTTTTTTCATTTGTGTAATTACACTCAAGCTTACACTAGCTTCCAAAGTCTATTCTTTGAAAGAATTACTTTCTTCCTGAAGCCGTAGTTGTCATGATTCATTTACTTTTTTGTTTGCTGGAACAGAGAAAAGTGTTGTGGTATTTTAAAGCAAAATTTAGTGTAATTCACTATTTGTGAAAGTAAGATATTTTATTGATTCTTTCAAAAAAGTGTAAATTGTCTGAAGGTACTTTTTTGTTGTAATATAACACAAATTACAAGGTCACAATTTAATTAAACACAAGTACAATAATAACTATGTTAATGTGCTGAAATTATTTTGCAGTAAAAAGTCTGCCTCGTTCATTTTAAGGTTCAGTTATACACAAAACATTTAAAATAGAAACAAATTGCAATCTACAGTCTACAAAATGTGGTTTAACATCAAATGGTTATATAAGGACAAAGGGAGTGGACCCCAAATAACATCCAACACATGCATGAGGAGCATTTGGCAGCAGTCCACTCGTACATGCAGGGTAGGAAAATTGAAGTAAAAATTAATGACCATCCGTACAAGTCTAGAAAATACTCCTATAAAGTAGTACTGGAGTGAAAATAGTGCTGAATAAATAAATAGAGAAATGCGGTGAAAAATGGCTAATTTGTTTACTGAGTTTTCTTATACATTTTTTTATTTATGCCAATTTTGTTTACTTGAATTTTTTTTATAGGTACATTGTTTGTAAAACTTACGTTTGGCATGGTTGTTCTCTGCCATTCACAAGGCAAAACCACTTCTGAGTCACAGTACTCAACTTTTGATGAGAATATCTCCAAGTTTAATGACTAATCAATTTAGAAAACAATATGTGATTCTTTCCAAAAGTCTTTTGCATTTTTTTTCTTTTTGTTGAAGTGTGCATTTTTAGTTAAGTGAAAGAAAACTATAGATACTCATAAAGTTATATTCTTTATCAGTTTGCCAATCCAATAACTAATTTCTATATTAGTACCATTGCATTTAAGGTAATGTTTAAACAAAAATATATATATTTTAACTTTGATTTTTAACACTTTTAATTTAGAACTCCTCTAAAACTTACTTTAAAGAAATTAAAAGTCATCTCTTGGATGATTCATATATATATATGATACTGTTTTTACCTTGTTACTAATTATGCCACCAGATTATTCTCTCATTATTGTAAAAGTTAGGCTTGAGCATCTGCAAAATGTTCAGGAAGAAAAATCAAAGATGGATACCATCACATACCTGCCTAGTGTTGTAAATATCAGTGAATCATAAAGTTAGATGAACTGTAATCTAATATAACACTGAAGTAATGAAATTATTTCCAAGTAAAGTCCATCCATTATTTTGAGTGTTTTTCATAAAACTTCAAAAGAATTTATCTAGATTAGTAGAAACTGAATTGTTGCTAGATCTGTACGTGTAATATTTTCAATAGGAACTGATACAGTAGTAAACCAATAATGGCTATATTTATTGCAGGAAATAACAGAAGACTAATAGTAATTATTTTTAGTACAAAAAATAATATAATAGATGGTTGGTAATAATGATGGTATTTACTACAGAACACGGTGTAAGACTAATAATAACGGTATTTACTGCAGAACATGGTGTAAGACTAATAATAACGGTATTTACTGCAGAACATGGTGTAATGGAGGACTAATATTTATGTTATTTACTGCAGAACACGGTGTAATGGAGGACTAATATTTATGTTATTTACTACAGAAAATGATGTAATGGAGGACTAATATTTATGTTATTTACTGCAGAACATGGTGTAAGACTAATAATAATGGTATTTACTGCAGAACATGGTGTAATGGAGGACTAATATTTATGTTATTTACTACAGAAAATGATGTAAGACTAATATTAATGGTATTTACTGCAGAACATGAGTGATGTTAGACTAATATTTATGTTATTTACTGGAGAACATGGTGTAATGGAGGACTAATATTTATGTTATTTACTGCAGAACATGGTGTAATGGAGGACTGATATTTATGTTATTTACTGCAGAACATGAGTGATGTAAGACTAATAATAATGATGGTACTTAGTACAGAAAATAGTGTACTGGTGAATTAATGACAGTTATAATAGTTACTACTTCAAATGGTGTAAATATTGCTTGATGATAATGGTGGTATTTACCACAAGTATAATGTAATGGACAACTGATAGAAAAAGTGGAAGTATTATGAGTCACCATTAGGATAGTAAAAATATAAAACACAGTATGTAGAAGAGGGTTAATGTTTGTTATTTGGTTTTAATTTGGGCTACTTGCTGTAGTTCTGGACTGAAAAAAAACTTGTTATAAGAATTGAAGGATCATATGTATTTAATGTTGTTGCTTTCAGCTTTCTTCAGAAAGAGATTTATGGCCAATTAATTGTTTTTTTTACTATATAACATAGGTATCATGCTGGTAAGCTAATTAAAGATGGAGGAAGGTTTAAGTATATTCTTACGTCTGATAAGAAAAACCATTCAGTTTCTTTGGAGGTTGGCCAAGTAACTGCTAAAGATGGTGGAGAGTATAAGGTGATTGCCAAGAACAAAAATGGAGAAGGTTTGGCTACAATCAACCTTAATTTTGAAGGTACATTTCAGTGTTAACAATTAAACTGCTTGATAATAAAATTCTGAAAATATTTATAGAATAAAATTAACTGATTTGCTTTGCTCAGTGTATTTAATGTATTACAACATAAAATGAGGATGATGAAAAAAAATTAACAAAATATTAAAGAATAAAGCTAAAATACTTTCATAATTGAAGTAAATTTACTCTGAAGGGAAGCAGTGAAAGTAGATTTGAAAAAGGATTAGTCATGAAATTTTAGCTAAAAAATAAAAGTTTCCAAGTTTTTTAGTCATAATATGTGTATGCTGCTGAAGTAATGTTATAAAGATATACAGTGCTTAAATGTTCTCAAAGTTTTTACTTATTTATAATTATTTGAATTACTAAGTATGATATAATTCTGCGTTTATGAATTTCTTTTCTTTACAGTTTTTATTTTTATTTTTTATCAGGTGTTTGTAAAATTTATCTTAAGAGGTTTATATATTTGATAGTTTATTACTTATCATTTAAAAATTAATTTTAATGAAGCAATAGCACTGTATCAATCTGTTAATACTGTTCTTAATGATAAAATATATAGTCATTCACCTTTTTTTTTTTCCACAGGTGATGGCAAACCTAAGTAAGTAGTGACTATTACCGAACTAAATTAACTAATACAATAGGACAGTAAATATTTTATCTAATATAGTTAGTTCATAATATCATTGTGTAAGGAGAGAATACATAACTAGATTAGATAAAATATTTACTGTCCTATTGTATTAGTTAATTTACTTGTTTATAATATCATTGTGTAAGGAGAGAATAAGCAAAGTTGTATTCTAGATATCACTGATTTTTACATTTAAGGTCAGATTTGGTTCTAAAAATACTTAAATGCAGGTAGAATATTTTGGTGCTAAAGTACTTGAAAAATAGTCATATTTGATATTTTGTTTCATTTAATAGAATAATTCTATATTAATTTACTTCCAGGATTCCGGGTGGGAAAGCCCCAAGGTTTCCCAAGAAACCTACCATAAAGCAGGTTGGAGATAACTTATTCATGGAATGTGTGCTAGAAGCCAATCCATTCCCCACAATCTCATGGTTTCATGGCACCAAACAGATCTCAGAAGGAAAGAGACATAAGTTTCATAAAAAAGAAATAGAAAAAGATACATATGCTCTATCACTTGAAGTCAGGGTATGTACCATGATTTCAAGTTTTACATTCAGGTCTCAAGCAAAGTTATACAGTTTGTTAAAAACTTGCTTCATTACAGAGTATCATTATTCTTTGAAGTCAGCTTATAGAATCCATAACGAAGTTATTTATGGTAACATATTAAGGATAAATAATCAGCTCATCAGGTATTAATATGTTTTAGATATAGGACTGGAGGTGTTATCCACCTGTAATTGTTATTGAAGATGATGCTTTGAACTACCGTAGTAGACTGATGAAGATCTGTGCTTGCTATCTGTTAAAACATCATCTTCAAGAACATATACTAGTGAATAAAGGGTTTTATATCCTTCAGAATAAACATATGAAACTGTTTCTGTCAACTTGTATTCAGTTTTCTCTAAAGTATTATCTGAAAAAAATGTAATTACTATTCCCACGTGAGTATTTTATATGATACCATAACTGTTTGGTATTTGTTAGAGCAATACACTTTGCTTACACATTTATTCATGATCTATATGCAGTTGGATCAGTTGTTAATAATTACAGTGGAGAAACAGCATGAATATCTTGCTATTTGTTAAAGCCTCATCGTGATGAAAGACTTTACACATATAAATTCAATGTTATCCGTGCTTATTAAGGCATTATGGGTCATCATCACATTTTCAAGTGTTTAGTGTAAAGTTGAATTAAAATAGATGAAATTGTTTAGATGAAGGAAAGCAATATTTTAACCTTCTGATATTTAATTTTGTGAAGATGCTACAGATTCTTTATGGCTTCAAAAGTGTCCTGGTCTAGTAAAGACGTTTTTAAAAGAAAAAAATAAGGATTTCTTACAGAAAAAGAAAATCAAATTGTTTTTATATTTGTAACCCATACTAAATTCTCTTTCATAAGTATTAAAATGTATCAAATATTTTTTTCAAAATTTACTTATTTAAGAACCTATCTTGATATCATAATTTAGAAAAAGTATATGTAAAATGAAAATTAGACAAAACATCTTTGTTATAGTATACAGTATTAAAATGAGGTGTGAATTGAACTTCGGTTATTAGATACGATGTCTTAAAATGCTGAATTTTGTTATGCATAAATTAATTTATTATAAAACATTTTAAATTATATATTTTATCTCTGCTCAGATTTAACCCCAAAAATGTATTTGAAGATTTAATTAGCTCAGTTCAGATCATAAATTGAGCAGAATTGATATAAAATTAAAATTAAAAAATTATGATAAGAAAATTGAATCATACACTAAGTCAAAAAAGGAAATTATGGTTTGTGTAAATCTTCTCAAACAATTGATACAGGACCCTACGACAGAAGATGGTGGAGGCTATCGGTGTAATGCTGTTAGTGAGCTTGGTGAGAGTAATGCAAACATATCTTTGAACTTCCAAGGTAAGTTAATAAGAATTAAGTCTAAACTAAAATGTTATTTTATTGTTAGTGGGTGTCAAAGAAATTGAAAAAATAAAATGAGATATGAAAGTTAATTAGTGGTATGAACACATTTTATATTATATGTTATGCATATATTTGGTTGGACTGATTAAGAGAAATACAAAGACAGAACTCATTAAACACATAGTTAAGTAACTATTTGAATTCTAACTCACTATTGATATGATTTATTTTAGTAAAACATTTCTCTCACTGGAGGTGAAAATACATGTTCTTGAAAAGCATAATTTCCTAAACTTAGTATGAATATGTATTTTACCAGCCAAGTTAAATATAACATTATTTATCTTTTTGTTTATCTCTCAGGAAATTTGTAACTGTGTTTTTGTATATTTTTCTTAGAATGTTCATCTTAAAGATAATATATAATGATGCTAAATGTAGTTGAATGGCAGCTTGACTTTTGAATAGATGTAGCTTAGTTTTGAATTGAATTTGTTTTTTAATTGAAACTTTTATTGAAAAACAAGTTTCTTTATAGGTTTTAAATATGGACTACTATGTATATAAAAGTATTACCTTGAACTGTTTAGCTTTTGTACTTAAAATCTAATAAAAAAATTTGCATGATGATACAGGTGGTGATACAGGTGAAGATGAAGGTCCAACCTTTGTTGAAAAACCTAAAATCATTCCAAAAGATGGTGGAAAGCTGATTGTTATGCAGTGTCGGGTGAATAGTGTGCCCCCACCTAAAACTGTTTGGTATCATGGGACACAGATTGTAAAAGAGACCAATCGAGTTAAAAGTCGAATAGTAAAGGAAACAGATGAAGAATTCACAATAATTCTTGAAATCAGGGTAGGTTTTAAATGTACACATTTTTAAAAACTGCTTCCTTTATTTTATATATGCATATACACACTCACACACACATATATAATTTTGCATTCCAAAAGACCCTGTTAGTATACTAAATGAATAAATAAATTTACATAAATAGATATAAAAAGAAAAAATTTCTAAATTTTAAAATCCTTTTTTATAAACACAAAAATAATACAAAATCATAATCATCATTCACTTGTCATCCTCGTAATGTTCATAGTAATGGATGCAAACTTTTGGTTATCCTCAGGCCATCCTCAGGCACAGACAAAATTACAATTATAACTTTAGGAGAAGATGAAGTAGAGTGATTGATATTCAATACTAAACATAACCCGAGAATTCATAATGTTTCTTTGGTTTTTGGCCTCTTTTTTTTTCATTGAAGGAATTTGCAGTTTTAATGTAGAATTTTTTATATATATAACCTATTTATATATATTTATTAAGTTATTTATTGTGTTAATAGGGTCTTCATTATAGTGTACTATTCCAATACAGTGCATTACCTCCTCTCACATAAATAGCTATTCTCGTTCAGTGGTAAAAAAAAATTACGTATGCCACAAGCCTTCTATCTCCCCTCTATTGGAATTGAATGATTCCAATGCATCTCTTATGCAAATCATCGTGTGTCAATCCTCCCCCAATAAGAGTGCAACATACTCTCGTGATGCATGTGACTCCCTCTATTCAATTCTATTGAACTATCACTTCTCGTTTGTCAGTACTTGTGTTCAGACATTTTTTTTCTTTTGGTGTTCTTTGTGTGAATCATGATTTTAATAGTTTAATTTCCAAAATGGGACTTCTTCATTATTATTATTTTTCTCCAGGTTTATTGATGACAAAGAAGAATGCTGTGAATGATTATTTTCATATCTCGATATTTCATCATTGCAACCCTCTCTTCAGTTTATTCTCCGTGAGGTGGTTTCTCTGTTTCATACACTAACCTTTGGACTTGTTTCAGCCCTGTTTGTTTTGTTGGACATTCAGCGCATTCGTTCATCACCTACGTGCTCTCAGGTTGCGTATACCTGGTTCAGAAGTGGTACAGTTCCCCACATCAGATCTTAGAATCTGACTATTTCATCATAAAGAGTGTCCTTTAGACACTTTCGAGGGATGGTTTTTCTTTCCCTCATTCAGCTCCCTCCACCTATTCACTATGGGATTCTAGCTACTTAAATGAGTGGAGGTAATGTACCATATCGGAAGTTATAATTTTCCTACACTGAAAGTGTATTTCTAGTAGGTACTTACCTCCTTTCATACTTCCCACCCTTCCTCCCCACTAAAAACTGGTGCTTCCATCTTCTGCCAATAGTCAAAGTGATAGTTCAATAGGATTGAATAAAGGGAGTTAAATACATCATGAGAGTATGTCTCACTCTTATTAGTGGAGGATTCAAGCACGATGATTTGCATGAGAGATGCATTGGAATCAGTCAATTCCAATGGAGGGGAGATAGAAGGCTTGTGGCATGCAAAAAGTTTTGTTTTGCATATAGAGGGCAGCACTAAACAAGAATAGCTATTTAGGTGAGGGAGGTAAGTACCTATTGGAAAAACATTTTCAGTGTAGGAAAATTATAACTTTAGAAATATGACATCCCTGGTAAGCTCTTTGACCATTTGATATAAAAAAAAACTTTCTGAATCATGTCCAAAAATCTCTCCCTCTTTCTCACTATTTAATACTGTAGAATCCCATTTAATGTGTTTAAAAGTAAAGAATCCATAATCATTGCATTAATACTTTTATTAGTAGCAACTCTGATCTCATTGTACAATTCCTGATTTACCCCTTTTATCTGATTAAATGGTCAGTATATAACATTTGCCAGTTAAAAACTTTTAACTCTTCAAACTCCTGATTGTTACCCACATAAACTATTGATTATTATTTTCTGTCTTCAATTCTAATAACTTGCTGTTGATTTCTTATATAAAGACCAACCCTACTTCACCTCTTTAAAATATGTTATTATTAAGTAACTTATAATTTGCAATATCCTAGGTTCTAGTGATGATTGCACTGATGAAATATACTACAGTTTTTAACTCATTCAGCAAGTTGATAAAATTTATCATATTTAGATACCACATTGCTATAGCTACTGTTTTTTTGTTATTTGTGTCATATATAAGTAATATCTTTTTTTTTAATTTTAGCAGAATGTTTTCTCATTTACTTTGTAATTTGCTATTCACTTCATAGTAATCCTGAGGTTTGGAAGTGTAGTTTGATTTTCATTGTATGCTTCATATGTTATGCTCTGTCTATAAGATTACACGCAATGTTAAAAAGACCTGTTTGTCAAGTTATTAATACGTAGAAATGAGCAAGTAACATTGTAGTGTAAAGAAAATAGGTATTTTTTTTCTGTCTTTTGCTGGAAGTGCAAGCAGATCCACAGATGAACTTTTCAAGTAGCATTTCTACCAGAATCATGTTGTAGTTTTTCTTTGCACAAAAGTTGTACTTGTGGAAGTTTGTATTTTAGTCAGTTGTATGTGGTAGTATAAAGGATGTAAATAATAAAATAGTACATAGCAATTACATTAAAGAATAGAGCAGAGTTGTGGGTCTTTGAAAATTAAATGTAGCAAACTGAGATGTACGCATAATACATTTTTGATTTAAAAAATGTGATGATTAATTTTCTTGTAGTTCAGAATGTAATTCTTATTTTTTTTTCCAGACATTAAGATTATTGAAAAATAGTACATAGCTTTTCTATGGTTTATCAGTTAATACACAGAGTAGAATTATCACAAGTTTCTAGTTATTATGATTTAATTCCAAAATTAATTGATTTTCTATGATAGCTCTAATTAAATTCTGTTACAGTCTAAAACTGTTGTGTTGATAAACTCAGAACCTGTAACTGAAAGCATATCTGAACCTGGACAGATATATTTTTCTGAATATTACTGGCTCATATATTCAAAGCTACTAATTCAGAATTGCATTTGAATTGACGCTTGTGTTTTTATTGCAAGGACCCATCCAAGGATGATGGAGGAAGTTATAAGTGTAACATAAAAAATGAAAATGGTGAAATCAATGCCAATCTAAATCTGAACATTGAGGGTGAGTTTGTTTTCTTTACATATACTTTAATGACATATTTAAAATAGAAAACACCAAAAAAGGGATTCTTAAAAAAATTAAAAGATATTAATTATTACTGTGATATAGTGTAGTTTCTTAAATATTTGTTTAAAATATTAACTTTTATAAATGTCCATTCAGTAATTAAACACAGATTCTGATTGCTTGAAAAATGATGTAAAATATGTTTTATTTGTTGACTTTAAAAAAAATAAAAACCAAATTAATAATTCTTAGTCATAATCATCGTATTGAATTTGAAATACCATGTTATATGAAGGTCAGAAAAAGCCTGATGGTGAAGCACCAACTTTTGTCGAGAAACCAAAAATCATACCAGAGGATGGAGGGAAACGAATTATCATGGAATGTAAAGTACGAGCCAAACCAAAGCCTAACATAGTCTGGTATAGAGAGAACACAGTTGTTAAAGAAACAAATCGAATCAAGCAGATTATCAAAGAAGAAAACAATGTATATATCATCAGACTGGAGTTAAAAGTATGTTATAAGTTTTGTTTTTATTTGGTAAATATGTTTTAAAAATATTTTTGATAATTTTGAAGAGTTATTTTATTTTCAGAACTTTTATAAAGCGTTATCCACATGTTGATTTATCAGTGCTTCTTGGAGAACAGTTTACAATTACTTCATATTTTTTCGTTTAATATAAACCAGTAGAGTAGTAATTTCAATAATGAATTTTTAATATATTTAGAGGTTACTCTAATTGGGAACATAATCTGAATATTATGTTCATTTCATTATGACACTTTTCAAATTATATCTCTCAAAGTTGAAGTACATTGACATTATTAGTTGTTTGACTGATACAAATAAAACTATTTTAAAATTAAATGCCTTAAATCTCTTCTAAATGTAGGCTTTTATTGTTTTATATATTCTTTATTCATCATGGTTAAGAGGAAATATGTTTTTAAATGTGTTAGACAACTCCCATCAGTGACTCCTGAAAATTCTTTTGTTTCAGTGATGTTTTGACCAACCAACTGTGACCTGAAATTAAATTAATCTAAAAAAATCAGTATCTTAACCAAAAAAAGGCAATACCTGAGAGAGGCTTAATACCAGTTGAAATTTGTATTTATTTCTTATGTTATTTATAAATATCAATTATCAGAAGAAGTATATAATGTGTGGTGTACTTCCAATGGTTTTAATTCATACCACAGAATAATGCCATATTTTGTAAGGTAACTTGAAATAGATTGTTTATTTTAATAATTAGGAGTTGCCCGTGTCTGTTATCATTTGATGAGATTTAAATCTACAAGTTTAATACATTCAAATAGATTTTTCTTGTCCTTGTAAGAAAAATATAATATAATTCTCTTGCTTGATTATCAAACAGAAATATATACCAAGTTAGTTAATAACTGAATATGAGGAAGCAGTTACCTTTTCTTGGAAACTATTATGCATTAAAGAATAATTGTGATAAGTGTTAATATCAAATAACGAATAGTTAATGTAATGGATTTAATAAATCTAGAGCAGAAAATTATGATAAAACACTGTTATATTAGTAAGAAAACAACATAATATTATGTTTAGCAGTTAGAAAGTTAGTGAAAAACAAGTCTCACATTGTTTTCTGCCAAGAAAACTTGACAACAATGTCTTCTGATAGTTTTTTCTATATACTGTGGTTTTTCAATAACGTTTTACATGTTTGTGTACAGTTTTTTTCATGGTTTAATATACAGTATTTCAGGTTTTGTTCTGTTTATGAATTGTTGGCATAAGAATGCTTTCTTTGTTTAACACCAAAAGTTTTGGTATCATATTAATATTTTTTGTATTACCTAACTCATTCCAATATGCTCATATTTCTTTCTTCAGGATCCAGAACTTACAGATGGTGGTCTTTATCGATGCAATGTAAAGAACTCAGCAGGAGAAAGCAATGCTAATCTTACTCTAAACATTGAATGTAAGTATATGTGGATGGTATATTGTGTGCTTCAAGCATTTTGTATAACTGATTTTTATTTCTGAAAATAAAGAATAATTGTTAATAGTTTTTTTCATAAAATATTGTTACGACAGTGGAAGTCAAGCGATGCTGGGAGCATGCGCGTTAGAGTTTGTAGAACGATCATGAATTATCGAGTGTTTGCCAGGCACCCTCTTTTTTAGTATATAAGCCTGGCAAATAAAGCCAGTGAAAAGAGAGATATGCAGATAGATTGAAAATATAGATAATTGAGTGAAGCAAACAGTAGGCACCGTAAATAAAGTGTGTGAATCGCTGTGAATTATAGCGTGTGTTTATAAAGGTTGTTAAGTTTAAA